CAACTTTAAAAAAATATTGGCCAGGCATGGTGGCTAACGCCTACCATCCCAGTACTTTGGGAGGCCGAGGCAGGCACATCATTAGAGGTCAGGAGAGTTTGAGACCAGAGATAGTGACCTGTCTCATCTTAAGTGACCAGACATAGTGAAACCCTGTCTCTACTAAAAATACAAAAAAATTTGCTGGGTATGGTGATGGGTGCCTGTAGTCCCAGCTACTCGGGAGGCTGAGACAGGAGAATTGCTTGAACCCAGGAGGCAGAGGTTGCAGTGAGCTGAGATTGTGCCACAGCACCCCAACCTGGGCAACAGAGTGACACTCTGTCTCAAAAAAAAAAAAAATTGATTATCTGAATATTTTTAAATGGTACAGATAATTATTCTTGATATGTATTCACATACCTTAATTGGTTATTTAGATATTATTGTCCCTAGCATTGTGATGTGGACATTTTTTAGGAACATGCGTTTTTTTCCATTTTTTAAAAAAAACACAGTTATTATTTTTACAAAACTGCAATCTTTTTTTAAAATTTCATTTTATGGTTAATATATTTGAAATTGTGGACAACTTTAATTGATGCTTCACTGTAGACTGTAATGTTTTTAACAGAGAACACATTTCTTCTCTAGATACTGATGAACCTGTAAGTTCTGCTAAATGAAGAATCTTTTCATTTTTTATATTAAATATGTAAATATTTCAGGCCAATGTTATCATAGGTGCTGTCTTTCTACCTTCATTCAAAGCACTTTTTTTCAATAATTTTCTTACAAGATAAAACTTTCAAGTTGTCTATATCTGTGATTGTTTTAACATTTTGCCAAATCTAGATATTGCAAAATCATAGACTTTCACAATTTTTCTCCATTTTGGTGGAGAATAAAAATTTATGCAGATAAAATTAGAACTCAAAATACATCAAAGATTTTTCTGAAGCACAATTGTCAAATTAGATAATTAAACCATATCTGCTTTCATCTTTTGATTTGTTCAATTCCTTCTTGGCTTTTGTAGGGAGAAATTTGAGCTTCTTCCTTTGCAAGCCTTATTTTACATAATTATAACTTGCTAAAAGCTTCAAAGGCTGAATTTTCATGCTACATTCATTGAGTAATCGATCAAAAATTTTCAACTGGTCTTGAACATAATGCAATCTAAATTTGGGTTGCTTTACAAAGTGGTTTTTCAAAGGCTCAGGCATTCCCGAAATCCAATTGACGACATGCAACACAGACAGGAATATACATATAGTAATTCTGAAATGTTTCCTTGCATGGTAGTATTTGATATCAGCTTCTGTCAGAAAAGTTTTGTAGATCAGTTATATAATCTGTGTGTGTGTGTGTGTGTGTGTATTTATTTATATTTATAAATTTTGACAATTTTAGTTTCTATTTTGACTGACAGAATACCGCAGCTTGTTTGAATGCAGTCACAAATTTTGTGCACATTACAACCAATTCCAAGTACATTTCTGCTCCATAGCTTGTTAACTTGGTAAGAATATTTTATCGCAATGCGTGCTCTATTAACATTTGTATTCCTATTCTTACAACAAAACAACAGTTTATCTTCAATGTTGAGCTTTACAACTAAATTTACAGTGGCATTAACAATGTCAGATGTTTCACTTTTTGACTAGGAAATAAATTCTCACATATTTTATTTTGATTATTTGAATTGGATAAAAAACAAAATTGAAACATTTCGGAATTAATACATTTTTGAACTGAGACCTTTAACGACACTATTATAAAAAACATTATTTGAAGGTTTGCAATGGAAAATCACTCATTAATTATTACCAGCTTACTTACAAAGACAAGCAAATGTGGAACTGAAAATGAGCAAAATTAATTTGTGAATTATTTGATACTAATGCGAAAGTGTGTTTCACAATGATATATACATAGGCCTCCAGCAGCTGCCATGTTGAAGTCATTTTAAGGCATGTTCTTCTTAAATTATTAACTTTGGAAATAGATGCCAAAGCTTCTTCACCATATTTGTACCTTCTGGTTTTCAAAGGGATAGTGAGCTTGTATGGTGCATGGTAAATATTGACAAATATTTTCCACATGTTGCATATTTGTTATCAGCTTTCTTGAGACAATTAAACATGTGCATTTTGTTTTGGTTTTGTTTTGAGCTAACTGCTGAAAGGGTTTATTGTAAAATTGTAAAATTAAAAAGGCATTACCATATAATAAAACAAATAGAGCTTCACATATACAAATAATAACAAAACTGCTTTAATAAAACAATTAGGTTACACTATACTCTATGGCAAAATTACTTAGCCTCTATTTCCTAAAATTTGTATGACATTAAGCCACAATTTCTCCCATTTTCTACTGACTCTGAGGAGGTTCCATGCATCTCACAGGCCACCCACCACACAACCATGGGAGGGCACGAGTGGTGGTTTGCCAACTGGCCAGCAGGGGGAAAAGCCTCAGAAATGTTTCTGCTACCACCGAAGATCAGAAGAGTTAGCTATCTCTGACTACTTGTGCTTGAGCTCTTAGCTTTAACAGCCAGCACCTGCATATAATTCTTGAACGGTTGCTGCTAGCTAGGTTTCATCTGAACGGAATCAAGAAAAAAGGCAAGTTATCACTAGCCATCTTTTGCATTCAACCAAAATTAAGTCAGAATTTGGCTGGGCACAATGGCTCATGCTTGTAATCTCAGCACTTTGGGAAGCTGAGGCAGGCAAATCACCTGGGGTCAGGAGTTTAAGACCAGCCTAGTCAACATGGTGAAACACTGTCTCTAATAAAAATACAAAAATTAGCTGGGCATGGTGGTGCATGCCTGTAGTCCCAGATACTCAGGAGGCTGAGGCAGGAGAATCACTTGAACCTGGGAGGCAGCGATGGCAGTGAACCAAGATTGCGTCACTGCACTCCAGCCTGGGCGACAGAAAGAGACTCCATGTCGGGGAAAAAAAAAAAAAAGAGCACTGTTCACTGAATATGTGTTCTATACACTGCTAGAGGAGACCATGGAAGAAGCTGGAAGGAGGTCTGTTAAGCCATACTGGCTTACTTAATGCAAATACTGATAAGAAAACTTTAAATAAAATTGCAAATCTGGGGTAAAAAGTAAAGTTAATAGGATGTGACAAAAACAAGCATAAACCCAGGACTGTCTCAGGTAAACCAGGATATATGGTCACCCCAGAAAGATCGACGTAAGACTATGGCTTTTACTCCAAATGAGATAGGGAGTCATTGTGGGGTTTTGAGTAGAAGAATGACTGGGTCTGACTTTAGTTTTTAAAGGTGACCCTGGCTGCTTGAGAACAGACTGTAGTGGGGGAAAGGGCAGGAGACCACTTAAGAGCCTACAGCTATAATCTAACATTGAGGACAAAGACAATGGTTCCCTAGTAGAGAGACAAATTCATATCCTTAAAACTGTGTATGTGTTTGGAGAAAAGAACAGTTAGGGGGTAAACTACCCCTGAGCTCAAATTTCAGGTCTGTGCTTCTGGTTATTTCATTTAGGGAACAATGACGAATCAAAACATCATAGTACAAAATTACCAGCTATGAAGAGCATCTACTTAATTCATCTTACACTAATTCCATTCTCATCAAGCAACCTTTTTAATTATAACGTACGTCCATATAGACTTATCCATAGGAAGAGAATGCATATATGAGTAAATACAGCTGCTTTGCTTGATTGCTTTAACTGTAACCATAAATTAATAAATTTGATTTCTAAGTTCTGTGTTTTTGTTTTTTGTTTGATTTTTGAGACAAGCTCTCATTCTGTCACCCAGGCTGGGACGGAGTGGTGCAATCATAGCTCACTGCAGCCTCGACCACCTGGGCTTAAGCGATCCTCCTGTTTCAGCCACCTGAGTGGCGGGGACCACAGGCACATGTCACCACACCCTGCTCATTTTTTAATTTTTCGTAGAGATGGGGGTCTCACCATGTGGCCCAGGCTGGTCTCAAATTCCTGGCCTCAAGTGATCCTCCCGCCTCATCATCATTTTTCAAAACATACAAGGGAAATAACACTTATTCTTAATCCTAATGATATTTTTTCTTAAATCTTAACAATTATCCTGAGCACATAACAAAATTCTCAAGCTGCTGAAATTACAGGCCTGAGCCACTGCACCTGCCCTAGGTTTTTAAAATATATATATAATCACTTGTCAGTTTGGTTAGCTTCAGTTGGTTCCCTAGAGCTTCATCATCTCCGTGTAAACTAATAATTGAATTTCCTAATCTATTCAGCAGAAAATAAGACCTGGGAAGTGGTGACCCTAAAAAGTCACCCTGAGAAGACTTGTCTAAGCTGCCACCTGGCCTTCCTCAGGTGATCTCTGGCTTGAGTACCATTCCAGTCAAATAGCAACATGCATCTCTGATGCCCCCACAGTAACAGAATATCCCCAGTGAATCAGACAATACTCTGCCTGTGACCATGTGCTCATTAGAAAAAATTTAGTTCTTGGCCGGGCACGATGGCTCATGCCTGTAATCCCAGCACTTTGGGAGGCCGAGGCAGGCAGATCACTTCAGGTCAGGAGTTCGAGACCAGCCTGGCCAACACGACGAAACCCATCTCTACTAAAAATACAAAAATTAGCCAGGCATGGTGGTGCATGCCTGTAATCCTAGCTACTTGGGAGGCTGAAGCAGGAGAATCACTTGAACCTGGGAGGTGAAGGTTGCAGTGAGCCAAGATCATGCCACTGCACTCCAGCTTTCGAGATGGAGTGTGACTGTCTCAAAAAAAAAAAAAAAAAAAAAAAAATTAGTTCTCAAAAGCTCAAACTCATTCCTCTGTGATGATTTTCTCAATTCTCCTCCTCTTTCCAAAAACATCTTTAGATGAACATTAAGGCATTATTTTTTCTCTTTCTTGGATATATTATTCTTCTTTCATATCATTTTATGTGGGATACAATTAATTTTCAGAAATGCATTCAAACATCCATGTTTAAGGACTATAATAAATGAAAAGTTACCGGCAAGGGACTTGTGTTATCCTGAACAGAAAGGATCTCTGAAGTCTCGTCAAGGTTACTCTCCTTTCTGGAATGCTGATCCAGGGGAAGAGGAGCTGGGTTGGAATATTCATCACTGTCCTGAAGGGTGGAGCGTTCCAGTTCCTCCAATAAGGCATCTACACCATAAGAAGTAAGAGAATCATGACAGAGAATATTTAACTCTCTAAAATCATTTTCTCCTTAAGTATCTTCACTGTGCCCACATTCATCTCCTTCTTTTCTTCAGTTATGGCTATTTTCAAATACTTTCCCTTATTCCTTATTTCACTTCAAGAATGTGGTGAATTCTATCAAGAAATGTTTAATGCCTCCATAAATTGTGTTTTTTTTCTTATTTTCTACGGTTGCATTCAATTTCATAGTCTCATGCTATAATTTGATTTTTTATACTACAGGTATTAATTTTCATCATTCATTTAGGGTAGACTGCCCACAAATATCCCTAATTAGAAAAAATAAAACTGGGCTGGGTATAGTGGCTCATGCCCGTAATCTCAGCACTTTGGAAGGCTGAGGTGGAGAATCCCTTGAGCCCAGGAGTTCCAGAACATAGCAAAATCCAGTCTGTATTAAAATACGAAAAAGTCAGCCCAGCATGGTGGTGTGCACCTGTGGTCCCAGCTACTCGGGAGGCTGAGGTGGGAGGATCACCTGAGCCTAGGTGAGCCTGCGTTGAGTCAAGATCACACCACCACACTTCAGCAGCCTGGGCCAAAGGAGTGATACACTGTCTCCAAAAAAGAAGAAGAAGAAAAAAAAACAGACAAAAAAAGAAAAAAGAAAGAAAGAAAAAAATCCTAAATGCTTTTTTCCATCAGAAAAATACAAGCAATTATATCATCATTTTTCAAAATATACAAGGGAAATAACACTTATTCTTAATCCTAATGATATTTTTTCTTAAATCTTAACAATTATCCTGAGCACATAACAAAATTCTCAAAGCAAGGTATAAGTATTCTGTCTTTTAGGGTGTGGAGAGAAAAAATGGGGAGAAAATTGAGATATTACAAAATCAAGTAAGATGTTGCAATTTAAATAGTTGAGATTTGTTACTCTTGTAGTTTTTTGTTTTTTGTTTTTTTTTACTAGTACCTATCTGTTATAATGAAATAAATAATAATAAAAAGTAACACATGCCAGGCACTGTGCTCAGGGGTGTACACATTTCATTTAATCATCCTAACACTTTGAGGCAGATGATATTATTGTCTTTATTTGGTAGATCACAAGAAAGAGACAAAAATAATTTGCTTAAGCTCATGAGTGCAGAACCAGGATTGAATCTGGGCTATCTGATCCCCAGCCCCTGCACTAACTGAAAGTTAGAAGTTCCAGTCTCCTGTCTTAGACGTATTCCTGGGTTATCTTGAGCATGTCATGTCCTTCTCTGATGCAGTTTCCTCATCTACATAACAAGGCAATTGGATTAGAACAGTATTTTTCAAATTATGGCTCAATACCCATTAGTGGATCTCTAGCGGATTTCTTACCACACGTTATAGTTTTCGAACTTTAAACACAGAATTATATTATATCTAAGGACCTGTCTACATCTGAAGTTCTCACATAAGGAAAATAAACTTCACAGGTCATTTAAAAAAACCCAGATTTTTCATTTATTTTAGATTTTGGAGGAATGAATATTTCTTAATGGCATTAGAAGAGATCTAATCTTTTTTTTTTTAAACAAATGAAATCTACAGAGCTTTCATAATCATTCATTTCTCAAAAATGTTGACTTTTATGTACCATTTTAGAGATAAGCAAACTGAACTAAACTTTAGGGCAAATGAATAACTGTAACGGGAAAAAAGAGATGAGGGGGAACCTACAGCATTAAAAAGTCGAGAGACTTATAATTAATTTCAGTGTATGAACTTTATTTGGATCGTTAAATCTACTTAAAAATGAAACAATCAAGACTATTGAACACTGACTGGACATTAAACAATATCAAGTAAGTACTGTTTAAGTGTAATAATGATATGTGATAATATTAAGTAACGCTGTTAAGTTTTTAGGTGTGATAATGGTATTTCACAATATTAAGGAATTACTATTAAGGCTGTTGTGGTTATGGCAATGGCATTACAGTTATATGTATAAACATATTTATTTATTTTAGAGGTTAGTGCTAAAATATTTACAGATAAAATGACATCTGAAATTGTTTTAACATAATTATAGCGGTGAAAGGAATGGGTGGGCCTATATATGAAATAAGACTGCTGAAAAACTGTTTAAACTGGTTGATGGGTATATCAGAATTCATTAAACTATTTTCTCTACCTTTGCATATTTAAATGTCTTTATAATAGAAGGTTTTTAAAAAGAAGTACAAATAGGCTGGGAGCAGTGGCTCACGCCTGCAATTCCAGCACTTTGGGAGGCCAAGGCGGGCAGATCGCCTGAGGTCAGGAGTTCAAGACCAGCCTGACCAACATGGAGAAATCTGGTCTCTACTAAAAACACAAAATTAGCCAGGCAAGGTGGCACATGCCTGTAATCCCAGCTACTCGGGAAGGCTGAGGCAGGCGAATATTTTGAACCTGGGAAGTGGAGGTTGCGGTGAGCCGAGACCGTGCCATTGTACTCCAGCCTGGGCAACAAGAGCAAAACTCCATCTCAAAAAAAAAAGAGTCAGAAGAAAGGATAACTAAGGTAGAAAGAGAAAGAAAACTTTTTGCCTCAGATTTTTATTAGCCAGACCCCACACCAAATTTGAGAATTTTGAATTTTTGTTCTGCATCTTTCAATTAAGCTAGAAGCTCTTTCTTTTCAATTTTCTAAGCTTTGCTCTAACTAGAAGCTAAAGATCCTCCTGAGCTCAAAATTAAAATAAAGATTATAAGAGAGAGGAAAACATACCACTAAGAGCAGGAAGTTGCCCTCAGAAGCACCAGCTAACCAAAGTTATCAAAACTCTTCTTTCTGGGTCATGAGTTATAGGCTTTTCGCTTCCTGTTTCATGAGTCTGCATATCACCAACACTCTGAGGTTATTATGCCTTTTGCCAGATTTTGTAATTTGAAGATGACTAATTTCAGTATGACAAATATGGGATTCCTAGAGGGTGGGGGCGGGGGAAGCGGGTACAAGACTGAAGACTCTATAATTCTTCTCTGTAGTCTTTTACTGTGGAGATGAAATAATATCAATATTAACATGAAAGGAATAAAGTGAGGTCTCTTGGGAGTCTCTATGGGTTGCATGGATTTCATTCGGAGGCAAAATCTGCTCCTGGTTCCTCTTTATCATGCCTAATGCCTATGTAATGAGGGTTTAGGTAAAACCTTCTGGGTGGATACAAGCTGCTAGCCTCTGAGGCACTACTGCAGACAGGAAATATTTGCTCACTTAAGCCAACCTGTCCTCGATGCAATTTCTCTGCCAGCAGGAAGAAAGATCCACACCAAGTCTCAAGGGTAGTTACTGGGCTGATGACAATTTGAAGAAACTGTTGAAGTGTAGCCATCAACAGCCTGTGGAGATGTAGCCAACTGGATAATCTGCACAAATGCTAGCTTCCAGGCTACTTGGTACTTTCTGTATTCCAGGACAAGATTTACCTAACATCTAGCCTGCTCAGGAAATGCAAAACAACATAAATTTCTGTTAAATCTGGGTTACTTCATTGGCCAGAACACCAGAACCAACAAACTTCTAAAATAGGAGAGCACCTTGTTGATTAGTTTTGGTGTCAGGTGTTCCCGACAATGACACTGAAAAAGTTATTTTCTTTTTCTTAGTTTTCTCATCTGAAAAAGAAGTGGATAATACCTATTTCAGAGGGTTGCTGCAGACACTAAAATCATTAACATATGTAAAAATGTCTAGATTTTGCTTGACTCACTAAATAAGTATTAGTTTCCTTTTGAATTATTTGCCATGAAAGCCATTCGGTGTCCTCCCCGCCAAAAAAAAAAAAAAAAAAAGAAAAAAAAAAACGAAAAAGAAAAAAGGCCCTAGCCCTAG